TCTGAGCTTGGCTTGGGTAAGCACCTGAACTGTCACCACCCTTGGCCTTCTGGTTTGGGTGTTAGGCTGGCCAAAACAGAGCCTGTGCATGGCACCCTCTGCCTGTTGTACCTTCTGACAGCTCAGAGGAACTCAGACCTTAAAATAGCTGCTGGTTTTGTTTGCCCTCCTTGCACTTGCCCACCAACAGGAGCATGTGGCAGAGACTGTGAGATTGCAGTAGTATGTGTGGTAGTCTCTCACACAGAAAAGGTGTTAAGTAATTTAAGAAAAAAAAAAAAAAAGACCAAGAATTTTTAGATTTGGTGTCAGTAATGAAAGATATTTTTGTTGGGGCTGAAAGTTTTTGGTACTTGCTTCACCATCTGTAGTCTCACTTTTTTTGCCGTGTTTTGCTAAACCCTTAACACCCTTCTCCATTAAGAAATATCTGCAATGCTGGGGGTACTTTTTTGATTACTTCCTAAAAGCATTGAAGTTTTATTCTAGATGCATCCAACTTTAGTCCAGTGTAGTTCTTCATGCTGTGATGAATGGTAAAGTTTTTGTCATCCAATATCACCTCTTAGTAATCAGGAATGTCTTCAGTTTTTATTACAATTAATAGTTGGTTATAGAAAGTGCTTACTAGGACAAACTTCCAAAAATTAGTAGCTCCAATGTTGCATAATTTTACAGAAGGATGAGGACTTTCAGCTAATGTGTACAGCTGACTTCCTGTCATTAAAAAAAAGCAACTTTTGCAGAATTCATCTGAAAAGCAGAAGAGTTAACATAACCACAGTTGTTCTCATGTGAGATGGATTTAATCTTATCCCTGTCTCCTGTTACTAGCATTGTTATTTAAGAATTTTTTTCTTTAAGGCAGCAAATCACTGTTTAAAAAAAGGCAGAGTTAGGGCAAATCTGTGTGGAAAAACAGGAACTTGTTGTTAGAGGCCTTCCTTTGTTGTTGCTTGTGGTTTTAAAGTGTAGAAAAGTTTATCCCTTCTTTAGTGCAGGACACCTTTTAGTTTTGTTATAACCAGAGCAGGCAGACTGCTCATTAAATAGAAAAAATAACTTGAAAATCTCTGTCCTGAAACATTTAGTTTTCCGACAAAATGATGGATTTTACAACGTGTGCAGGGTTCTTCTGTTTGCTTTAAGTTTGTGATAAGTTCAGTTTCCTTACGGGAAAAACGGGGCTTGCTCTGTAAACAGTCATGTAACCAGAACTGGCTGAGGGGGAGGTGGGGGCTGTGAGAGGCTTCAGCAGCAGAGCAGAGCAGAACAAACTCCATCTGACTTCTTGCAGAAGTATTGGGCAGTGCAAGTGTGGCTTTCTGAATTTGCATCCATCCTTCATGAGCTCTGTTGGGTATGTTCTGCAAACGTGCCCATTCAAGGGCTCTGTTGTATTTATACAGGTTTTTTTCAGCACTCTGATAATTGGCTAACAAATGCAGTCCAGGCATTTACAACTTCTAGATTGAGAATAGTTCTGATTTACATTTTGCCTTAGCTTTTGAAATGTCTCCTCTTTCATTTTGTCAGTAATGCTCAAATGCCAGTAACCCTGAGGTATAAATAATAGTCTAGCAAAAAAAGGGAACTTGTCAGGGCTTACAGGTCTGCTCAGGTGCAAGAACCTTGTACTATTACACCTACTGCTGGAAAAGCATGAACAGCATGGATAAAAACTCCTAGAAAATAACTTGGAAGAATAAATAATGTAGAGGATACCATGCTCAAGTGGGATTTTTCAGAAATTTCAGTCTCAGAATGAGCCTTGTTGCATTCCCCAAGCAACCAGCCTTGGCCACTTTTGGAGGCAAGATTGTAGATGAGCTGGATGTTTGGGGGCTGCTCCAGTACAGCTGTATAATTTTTGAGCTGAACTTAAGAGGTATAAAATGGGAAATCTTTTGCTTTTGAAGTAATGGTATTTTGAGGTAAATCAGAGGTGTTGATAGAAACTTTCTTTATTCTTGTCTTTTGAAGCTGCTGGTTAATTATCTAGTTACCAGTGGCTGTCTACCTTGGTTTAGAAAAAAAAATATACTTGGAATCAATTAAATTTTCACTGCTTTTATTTTTATGGCAATTGTGCAGTATCTGCACTCTATAGATGAAGAAACCAGACTACAAAGAACAGATTTGTAAGTTTTGATCCTGAAAGTAGCCCCCCCTGCATAGGCATGTGAGTAAAAATAATGTGTTTTTAGGAAGTACTGGCTGCAACACTGGAAGTTCAGGAGCTCTGACAGTATAAGCCTTTTTTATTTGAGATGCCAAGGCATGACTTAGGAGCATAACACCTCATCTAGATGTAAATTTTGGCATAAACTCTTACCAGAGAGACTGAAGAGTTTATATCAAAGGCAAGAGCAGAGGGAAGGATTGCAGCTGTTCAGGAATGAACTAGTGAGAATGTTGCTCCATCCACAGCTCTCCAGGATCATCTTGTTGCAGAACCAGAAAAGGTGGAGAAAGCCTCATCCAGTCCTGAGCAGCTGGTAGCTTGGCTTTAGATCAGCTTGCTGTGGGAGGTGCAGGTTCACCCCTCCTCTTCTGAATCAGTTAGATCAGGTATTTCACAAGGAACAGCCAGATTATCTAAACTGTAGATGTTATTTTTTTGACTTTTTTGTTGTGGTGGTGGTGGTTTCCAAGCCCCCATGTCCCCCTGTGGAAAAAATGATGTTTAATAATAAAGAAGTGAGTGAGTTCAAGGCCAAAAGAGATGCTCTTCATGCTTCCCCAGGCTCACTGAGGTAATACACCAAGGGAAGTCTGGTGTAGAGTGGACCACCCATACATGGGACTTCTTCTGCTTTTGAGTCAGTCGTGTATTTTTTGTTTTCCCTGCAGTTTTGTAATCTCAGAGTAGGTTCTGTTTACCAGGGTGAGGCTCCAGGGTGCTTATTGCTGTGCTGCAGAGGCGTTGCTGAACAACTTGTCACTCCACCAAGGAACAGCTTTGCCAAGCTTGGAGAGAGTAGTAGCCTAGAAACACAGCCCAGCAGTGACACTGTCTCAGAGTCTTTGGGGAGGGTCTAGTATTAAACAGGCTTTTTAGAGAGATGCATTGGGTCGTTAGAGATGCATAGCTGGCTTTTGGACTTTGGATTTGTCAATGACTTTGGATTTGGCAGTGGCATATGGAAACCATATGGGATTTCTGCTCATGCTGGGGGTTTTGTGCCTTTTTTCTGAAGTCAGATATGAATCAGAAGAGTTTAGAATTCCTAACTAAGATAACTGCCTATTTTCAGCTACTATGCTATTTTAGTAGCTTAAGCTTATACTGTTTGAGTTCTCCTTTCATGAGTTGTGTGGATAAAGAATTAAAATCCTGTTAAACTTAACATTCAGTTGGCATTAGTTTTTAGCAGTCAGTTTTCCAGCAGAAGTAGGCAGTGTACAGTTGATCTGTAACAGTTAAGCCAAAGCTTCACACAGAGGGCAGTAAACTCAATCAGATAACATACAATGTACTCTGACAGCTCAATATGCATTTTCTCCAACATTGATTCACACTTCCATATACTGCCCTGAAGTAAAAATGCCTCCCTGCTATTTTGTGTGTTGCAACTGTCTGCCTGAGCTCTGAAGTGCAAATTCATTTTAACTCTGTTCTTATTCCCCACTTCATTGTTTTGGGGGAGGAAAAACCAACACTGACTTTTTACCTTTTAAATATCTTTTTTAATTTTACAGCAAACTTAAATTAAAGTGAGAAAAATGTACACAATGTTCTAATAGCTGGGAAATATGCATAGCAGGATGTTTTAAAGCACCTCTGTCTGTATAGCCCTGTTTGTAACAGTAGTATACATAGATTTCTTCTTTTACATGGCTTGGACTTTTGCAAAGTGTCTTGGCTAACTTTTCTAGCATATAGCCCAAAGTAACTTATTTTTATACTTTTTATAAAGTTTGCAAAAAAAAGCATTTGAATTTTTATATGCTCCCATTATAAATATTTCATAGAATCATAGAATCCTTGAGGTTGGAAGGGACCTTCAAGACTGAGAATTTTCACTCTAAAAATTACCATGTCTTGAATTTTTATGGGACACCAAGTAGTTTCCTAGAAGAAATATTTGAATTGATGCACATCCTCGTTTCTAGTTAGCAAAGGTCATGTTTTTCTATGAAACCACTAGGTTGAGATTGGTACCTTATTTGGAGGATGTTATTTTGCTCAAAAGTCATGCTGAGTTGAAGAACTCCTCACAAAAGAATTTAATAAAGTGCTACTGTACCTAAAGCACTAACTTCAGTCATCAGCAGTTATTTTGTTCTAATTACACAGACATCTGAGACAGAGGTGAGAAGAAAAACCAGTTTGTCTGAGTTGTTTCCAGATGCCCTAAACTACCAGAAGATTTAATTGCTTTATTGGGGCCAGGCTTGTGGAGAGAGCACGTGTTTTATCAGATAAACCTGGGAGAAACAAAGTTCCTGTAGCCCACTCACCAAAGCCTCCTATGAATTCAATGGTTTCTAAGAAGGAAAGTGGAGGGAGAAAGACAGGAGGGGAAGAGTAAGGTAGAGAGAGGAGACTCTAGAGCAGGCACAGGAGCTGAAGTGTTATGATCCATATGATGCTGTTTTCCTCAGCAACTGGATTCTGCAGTGTAAAACAGGTAGTTTCACCCTGCTGCCAGCTAATTGGAAACCAATATAGTTATTAAAAATGAGCAATTGTTTTAACTTCAGAAATAAACCCACCTTTTTTATTTGTATTTAACTTGACAGTCTTTGGACTTTGGTTAACCTAATGGGAAACCAAAAGGTCATTTCTAGCTACAAGCTGTCAGAACAGCCATTGGACATAAATCCTTAAACTGCTTTTTCTGTGTCCTGCTATGCTTAACACTTTTAAAGTCTTACAACAACCTCTTCTGCTGCGAAGGGAGCGTAACATTTCCATCTCAAACTATATTTCCACAGCTGAAGAAATGGGCAGGCTCCTATTTCCAGTTGAGTCCCAGCAGTCTTTTACAGACCGTTCATACTGTAGAGTCACTGTCAAATATTTTCATTTTTATGGTCTGAAGGCTGTGCTGGATGAAGTTTTCTGAAACTGGCCTCTCGGAGAACCGCCCGTCCCGCGGTCTGGAGCGGTTCTTTTTGATAGAGTTCTGGATGGTGTCTGAGGTGAAGTAATAGACGATGGGGTCGAAGCAGCAGTTGGAGACAGCAATGCACAGGGTGACAGGGTACATCGTCCTCACTGCAGCCACCACCGAGCAGTTAATCCAGGTCTGCGTTCTCATCAGGGAGTACAGTATCAACGTGACGTTGTAAGGCACGAAGCAGAAGCAGAATATCACCAAATGGACAAAAATCATTTTGAGCACCTTTTTCTTGCTTAACTTATTCCTGCTTAACGTCAGGGGCTTATTCAGAGTCCGCAAGACCATGGTAGAGCAGGTGACGTTGAGGATGAGGGGAATGAAGAAGCCCACGGTCTCGATGAAGATGACGATGCGGGACAGGTAGGTTTTCCACGTGTCCTCTGAGAAGTTCTCAAAGCAGGTTCTCTGCTGGGTGTCGTTGCGGCGGTTGGTGGACTGGAAGAAGCTGGCTGGCGTGCTGCCCGCCAGCACCGTCACCCACACGGCGGCACAGACCAGCCTGGCCTTGCCCTGGGTCCGCAGGGTCTTGGACCGAAAGGGGTGCACTATAGCTAGGAACCTGTCCACGCTGATGCAGGTCAGGAACAAAATGCTCCCGTACATATTGGTGTAAAAAAGGGTGACCGAAATCTTGCACAGGATGTCTCCGAAGGGCCAGTTCCTCGTGACGAAGTAATAAATCCTGAAGGGTAAGGTAAACACGAAGAGCAGGTCGGATATTGCCAAGTTGAGCATGTAGGTCGTGGTCTCGTTCCGCACTTTTAAGGTGCAGGTGAAAATGTAGATAGCCACGCAGTTGGCTATGAGGCCCAGAACAAACACCATGCTAAAGATACACCCATATAAAGTATACTTAAAGGAGTCCTCAGTGGAACAGTTAGAGCTTACCATTATAGTGGTACAGTGAAAATTCCTGTGCTTTGGAGGTTTCTTTGGTATTTTTATGGCAACTTTTGTTTAAATTCCAGAAGAGCTTGCAGATGTGTTTGAACCGTGTGCTTTGGTGATTTTCCTGCACTGGGGAGCTTCAGAGAAGTTCCACGAGTTCTGTAGCAGGGGGGTACATCTCCAGCAGCAGTCACCAGGAGGGCACTCTCCTCTTCCGCACACCCCTCGTTGTAATCACATAGCCGCTCTTCAGAAGTCAGAAAACATCATTTGTGGCAGATGAGGTCATCCCAAAGCGTGCTCAGTCCCACTTTCCCCCTCGATTCGATGAAGCCATTGTAGCACTTTCTGCCTCGTTCTCGGCTGCAGATCCTGCTGGCAGAGCCTTGCCCATCCAAATTCCCTGGGAACGGGTGCTTTAGGAAAGGGTTTGCTGGATGCCGCGGCGCCGGTGCTCGCGTTTCTCCCGCAGCCTGCTCTCTGTAAAACGAGCTTTTCAGCTCTGCCGAGCTGGAGCTGGAGCTGGAGCTGGAGCTCGCTCTCCCTCCCCACGGGGCTGGAAGCAGCTGCCTGCGAGGGCAGAACTGAAATTCCAGAGCGTGTTGGTTCCTGCAGAGCACAGCCCCGGCGTCCTCTCGCCAGCCCCGCTGCTTCTGGAGAGCTGAGGAGAGAGCTGGGGCAACTCATAGCGTGACATCACAGGAAGAAGAGGTCGGGAGGGCTGAAGAATGGTTTCAGTTCAGTTTGTTTGCCTTCCCCTAATCTGATAATGTGTCTGCTGGGACTGTACCTTGCAGGCGTGCAAACGGTCACCAGCAGAGTGCTGCAGCTGCAGCCTCCTGTTAACTCCTTCCGTGCTGCCTGAAAAGTCCTTTGGCAGCGTTGCTGAGCCTGCAAGCTTCAGTGGGAAAGCTTTTTCTTCACTTGTGAGGAGACTTTTCAGTGTCTGAATAATTCTCCTGCCTTGGAATTTCTGGTTTGCTTTGAAGATAGCAGTTATTGTGGGATTTTGAATTTTTTTTGGATAGGATTGAACTCATTACATTTTTTTTGATAGATATCTTTGCTTGTGATAAGATAACACATTAATCACCAGAAATCAGCTGGGTAGTTCTATCTCCACTCTCTCAATACACCAGTACAGACCTTAGGAGGTACAAAGCACTGCTGATAGGCAATTAAATAATTTCACCAAATAATCACTGAAAGGGAGAGACAAGAAGATGAGCCTGTGGGTTGCTCTTGGGTATTCCCAGGACTAAGATGCGTTGCAACGGGAGGAGAAATTTTATCTTGTTCCATATTAGAAAACATGTCCCAGGCTGTATTTCTAAAAAATGAGTTTTTGTACAAAAAAATTTAGCTTTAAGTTTTTAAAAATGGTGATAGAGAAAGCATTTTCATCAATATGTGAGCACAGAGTTAATTTGCTGAAAGAAATACTGCACAATGCAATTGTTTCTCATCCTTTAAAGGGGGGCAGTTATCACACATGCACAAAATACTCCCATTAGTCACTGATTAATGAAATGAAAACATGTTGTAACTAATTAAATTGTTAAGTAAATATTAAAAAAGCAGTTCTTATTGCCTTTAGGGGTAGATGTGAGATAAATCTCAGTTTAGACAGACTCATTTATTTAACAACAGCTTGGATAGACTCGCTTCTGGCATCAAAACCAGTCTATTTCTAAGTCTTAGAATAACAAATCTCCTCATATCTGGCTGGGTGGCATGGTTCTTTTGAACTAGATTTTAATCAGTTGCACCTAAGCAAGGCTCTGGGCAAAACCTTTCTGGTCTGCTGTAAAGAGGGGAGTAAATAACAGCACTTCACAAGCTTTTGGCAGGGTTTCTTAATGTGAGGTATGTCAGGCAAAATTCAGAAACATGCAAAAATGGGTCTGGCTTATTTTGTTTCAAGGTTGGTTCTTTTTTTTGATAAATTTCTACTGTGAAACTCTTTCACCTGGATTTTGAGGTGAAGTCAAGCAGTTCCACTTCAATAGGCTATGGCCACAAGAAACCTTTTTCCCTATTTTTGAAATTAATACTTAACCATAAAGCACAGTGCATTTTCCACTTCTAAGTCAGCAAGAAATGTAAATGTGAGCTTGCCAGAGCCTTTGTGTGTCCAACTTAATTTGTACCTTAGCATAAAGTTGCCTTACCTGGCTTTCCTCACAAAAGCACTTGTCATGTGGTTAAATTTTGTTTCTATTCCTGGCAGCCTTGCACAGTGAGAGTTTTCCTGCAAGAGTCTGAATTTTGCATCAGGCCGTGGGAGGCTTGAGCTCAGTTTTCCTGCTCCAGCTTTGTTTGCACAGGAAAACTGTGGGGCAGGCTTAGTTACCAGAACAACAATCCCAAGTTCAGAAATTTGATGTTACCTGTGAAAACCTCAAGTGATATTTGATGTTTAGAGAGAGAAGTGACTAGAAATGAGTAGGTCTTAGCCATCAGTGGTTAATTTTCTGTTTGTGTGAAGGTGTGGATGCCCAGAGAGGGGGTGGGGGGGTCTGGCCAAGGGCACTGTCCATTTTGCCATGGTAAATGTTTCAGAGCAATCATGAAGGTGCCTCCTCAGCTTTCAGTGTGTCCATCAGGGCATTACTCAGAGCTTTATTTTAGGGACTTGGGTATATGCTTCTGTTCTCCTTGGGACTTTCTCCTGCCCCTGGACCTGTTGGTGCAGAGCAGTATGTGCACCTTACACAGCTCAAAGGACTAAGTGATATTTTTATGCTTCCAGAAATAGCTTTCAGCTCCAGGGTTTCTCCACCTGCAGAAGAAAGTTTGAAAACCCCAAGCTGACAGGTTTTTACTTTGTGTAATGTTTCAGTGAGGAGGTATCTGACTGAGCAGGCAGTCAGGCTCATTTTAGTGTAAAAGTGTGAATGCCAAAGGTGAACTGCATACCTCTTTTCTTAAATTAGATGTGGGTGATGGTTACCAAGCAATGTTTTAACATGTGAGCTTCTCCAAGCTGAGGAACCTGCCTCAGTGCACTGTGAGCTGTGGGATTTGAGAGTAGCTCCCCTCTGGCCAGGTTCCAGTGCAAATGGAGAGGAAACTTCATCTCATGCATTCCTGTCATTGGATCATGTTTCAAGATGTTGGGCTCTGTGCTGTCAGATTTGGAAGAGCTTTCAGTAAGCCCCAATGCTTAAAAAGAAAAAAAGTTTATCAGTTATTATGGAGGAAGAATTGACCTGGTAATGACCTTGCTTATGTTCCTTCACCACAGGCAAATTTTCCTTTGGGATGGGGAGGAAGCAGCTGCAGGGAGGGCCCTGAATGCTGAGCTTGTTTTTTTCTTCTCTCCAAAGGAAACAACACTGCCACTGCAGAGAGATGCATATATAGATCTGTTTGTCTTTCTGCATCAGAGACAGGAGTGAGTTAGGGCCTCTCATTTCTTGCTCCTGCTAGATGAGCAGACACTGTGCATTCACATCATCAGGTTTCCTACAGATTCCAAAGAGTCACTGAGGGCAGAGTGAGTGTGAGCTCTTAAGCTAAGAGCTGGTGAGATGCTTGGAATCATCTCTTCCTTCAGCAGTGGACAGATTTTGTACTCTCCTTCAATCAGTTACCATTTAACTCTGCTTATATGAGTTTAGATACCCAAGTTTAGACACTAGGACTCTTGACATCCTTGAGTGATCTTAGATTTGCATGGCAAACCTAAGAAGAAGTCATTAACAACCCTAGCAGTGTGCTAGTAGAGCAGCTATAGGGCACTCAACCACCAACAGCTGCTTCTTCCTACCCCTAGATGCCACAGAGCTGGAGACTTGTTCTCAATTAGGACACAGGGGTCCCTTGAATTCAGAAGTCCATTCTGAGTGTGTAAAACAAGTATCAGGAGGCTTTCCAAACCTTTGGAGTTGCTTTGGCCAGCATTCCTCTGGTGTTACCTTAGTCTTCAGTGCTGGAGTCAAACAGAAGTTGTAGTCAAAGATGAAATGAATTTTGAACTTGTCTTGTGTACCACATTTGGTACTGATGCTACTCCTAAAAGCTCTTCCTTGCTTTAGAGGGAAAACACAACTTCAATGTTAATACCATCATCATCATTTCTTTCAGGGCTTTCAAAGCCCGAGTATCTGGTGTAGTGAAGACAAACCCTTGCAGGGCAGCATTTTCTTTGCCATGAGTGTTATTATTTATCCAATAAGTTTCATGGGGTTTAGTATTTTTAGGCTGTTCACTGGGGTTTCTCTCTGAGCCTGTATCTGTACAGGAAGGAGTTTATTATGGCTGAGGCAGAGGGCTGGGAGCTAGGAAGTCTGTTCCTGGCTGTGCCACAGATTTTCTGTTCCAATCCTGGCAAAGTTTTCTACAGCTTTGTATTTTAACTTCCCTTCCTGTAAGAACTTGTTCCCTTCCCCACTGGGATGGGAGACCATCTTAACTGTTAAATATAGTTTGAATTCCTTGGATGGAGAACTCGTCATTAAATATGATACTAAGATAATTAACAGTGGTTAGTGAATGCAATAAAAATGCAGGAGGATTAAGATTTTTATATTTTTAGATTAGACTCCTGCTGTGCAAAACAATCTATTAAGAGACTTTGCTTGTTTTCAACTCCTTAAGACCTATGGGGAAGTAGGTGCAGAGAAGGCAGGGCTGGGAACTTTGACCTTCTCAGCTGCCTTTCAGGAGTTGCTTACCAGACACTTCTAAGTTGCTGTAAGACAGCTTCTGGTCAGTGGCTTACTGTCTTCTTAAAAAGCAGTCATGGTGTCCACCTACTGAGACAGTGTGAAGTAGTTAGTGCACTAAAAACTCCCTTTTTTAACTCCTTAAAAATTTTCCAGTGTAGTAGGCAGGTTTTTAAATGAGCACTATAAGACTTATGGTGAACAGATTATTTTTTAATCTAGCCAGGCTAATTCTGCATGACTATTGCATGCCCAGTTCAAGACTTCTCTATATCAGGAATAAAACTACATGTACAAATTACAAGTTAAAACAAGACTGTAAATATTTCTGCT